AACTGACCGATCGGTGAAAGGAAAGCTGGACCTTTTGAAGGGATAGCCGGACCAAAAAAAAAATCCAGCAGTTTTCCTCATTCAAAAAAAGCAACATCTAAGGGTATCATAGATTTAATGTTTTGAATACCAAAACCCCCTTATATAAATGAACTACTTCCCACCTCAACAAACTAGGCAAAGCCCGATTAGGGAGTCTGAGGGGAATGAGGGGGTATATAACAACTAAGGCATAGGTTGATCAATCATAATAGTCTCAATGATGTTGAGAAAGTAGATTTTAGTTGGGGACTAACATATCCTTGCCTTACCTTAGTGCTAAAGCAAATATTTCCTGGGTAGGTTCAAATTTGCCTTTTATTTTGCTAGAGCCTTCAGACCCAATCTTTTTGGTTGCCTTTTGATGATTGGCATTCTCCTTCTCTTTCTTCTTTTTAATGGTCTTAATATTTTTTGTTCTTATGTCTCTCAGTTAGCTGGCACTAATACCCTGCGTAAAGAAATACACAAAGTAAATTATAAGAAACAATAGAAAACCAGTACTTTGAAATAAAATATTTTATACCCCTAAACATATCATTACAACGGCTGCTCTTCATTAGCCAAAAACACCATGTCGTAGCAATTTTCATGTAGTATTTCATAATCGGTCAAAGTAGATAAAGTGTTTCTATTATAGTTACTTTTTAAGTTGAGCAACATTCTTATTTTCCATAATCTCTTAATAACAAGACAACTTCAGTACACCTTATTATTATAGATTCACCCTTTTTATCTTGGTATAAATTCTAACCTACCTTGAAAAATGTTTTTTAAAGAACTAAAAGGACAATGATAAAATGTAAAAAACCATGCAGTATTCTTATTATCATTGATGCACACCTTATCTTACAACAAGTTTTAAAAATGAAGAGAGGGATTTTCTTTAAAGAATGACACAAATCTCTCAAAGTATCACCTAGCTAATTAGATGTGGCTATCTCAAACATATTTCTTAGCATAGAAAAACCCTCTCATTTATATCTCAAATCTTCCCTTTATATTTTCTCTCACCTCTATTCAATCAGTCGCTAACTTAAATATTTGAGAGTCCCTTATATACATAAACAATTTTGTTTTGCAAGTGATTCATTTAGCCCAACCCCCCATCATCAACGAAAGCCTGTACTTTTTTAAAGTGTTTTCTATGACTTCATTATAAATAATTATACCAACAAAATAAATAATATTTTCATAGCAAGAGTTTTTTCTACTCAAAACATGATATTATCTCATCTTTTTATTTATTTATTTATTTATCCTACTCATTATAATTTTTAAAGATTTTTATATGTGGACAACATTAATTGCTTGTTAATTTCATTCTGTTAAAATGATTTTTTTTTAAAATCATATAATCTTTCATCTATAAAAAAACTCGTATTCTTACTATAAATGACTAATATTTTTAATACATTTATAACATATTAAATATTTTTTAACATGTGGATGGCCTATTATATATAATCCCCTCATTGTATTACATTACAAGGTTTTTTTTTTCAATGCATAAAAAGGAGTAGGCATTTACGGTTTTTTTACCAGCAACAAAAAAAATTAACTACAAACTGAAAAATTCATATATATGTTTAATAAAATAAATAGAAAATCATATGTGCCAATAAATGATAATAAATTTATTGATTCTAGCAAAAAATTGAGTATGTAAACTTATATAAAGATGTCATTTCTTGGAACAAAAAAAGAGGTTGAATATTATCTTAATTTAAAATTAGATCCCTAAAGTTTTAATTGGTTTGAATCAATAAAATTGAATTTTATTTTGCCAAACCAAGCTTTAACTCAACATTGAAACTTATTTTTAACATTGCAAGAGCTCCATATAAAACTAATTAAAATAAAATATCAAACTCAATTTCAAATCTACTTAATATGAAAGAAAGGATTAAAATAAAAATAAAAAAAATTCAAATGACACAAAGATAAAAAAAAAAATGCATTATGGGTAATTATTGCAACTTACAGATTAAAATAAAAATAAAAAAATTCAAATGACACAAAAATAAAAAAAAGATGCATTATGGGTAATTATTGCAACTTACAATGGATTGTGTTTTGCTTCTATATATGTTGTATTTTTATTTTTTTAAATATATATTTTTATTTTGCATTGCCTCACTTTTTCATGATTTCAAATACTATTTTATAATTTACCAAGTGTCAATTTTATAAAACTAAAGAAAAGAACTTAATGAAAAAATGATGTGAATGAAAAAAAAAAGGAAAGATTTGAGGCAGTTCAATAAACAAAGTTTACATCTCAAATCTTTTAATATTTGTGTGTGTGTGTGTATATATATATATATATTCATTTCAACAATTGACCTTAATGTATTTTGGAACCTATCTAATCCATGTCTCATCAAAATCTTTGTCGCTACATTTGCTACTTTAATTGACGTTCACTAATTAGTTTATCGATCTACAATTAAAACGTAGATCATAGGGAAACCTAAGCTAAAATGGTATGGTTCACAAATGTCTCGTCAGTAAGTGATCACCAGCTTCTTACCTAGAAAATATTATGCCTTCGCACTTTATTCACATTGTTGAAAATTGGAACCTTGTTGTCTCCTATTTGTAGAGCTAGCTTTAATGCATTTGGAAGCCAGCTTAGGAACAGCTAAAGCCTTCTTTCCATATAAAATAGGTTGCCTTAGTTTTATGTCCGTGAGAATCCTGTCTTCTCCTTCATGTAATTAATTTATCAGAATATTCTAACCCTTCTGAAAATTTGCTAGCCTGAGTGCTTTATGCATCTATTTCATTCTCCTGGCAACAGCACATATATCGTCTGCGGTTTAATATGCAAACCCACAAGTTAAAATAACCATTTACGTTATTGAGACTGATTCTTTCCCAACTGAACTTGGGGCATGGGATTTAGGTGTTGACAAGCAAAAAAGTTGCCCTAATTTATTTTCTTTTTCCTCCACAAATGAGGGAAATTGCCCTATTCGAACGTTGACATTGAAGTGAAGCGCTTTTGATGGGTGCGGCATTGACTGCAATAACGAATTATGGCATGCCATGTCGGCCTGATTCTTTGGAGGATGAGTTTAGTCAACTAGTTGAATAAGAGCAAATGCTTTTGAAATGTTCATGGAACCCTAAAAAAGAATACTTCTTGGGACTAATTATTTATCACCATAGCTAAAGCTATAAAGCGAGTGGGACTCTGTGCGTGGGTGTGTTGCCTCATGTTTGAAGTTCATAGCTAAGAATTCCTGGTTTTAAGAAGGAGAAAAGAAACATGGGTTGGGAACAACTGTAAATGGATGTCATCTGTATAGAAAGCAGAAAAATTCCTCCACCATTGCGTCCTGTGTTAAGGCTGCTGCGTCTTATAGGTGACCTACGAAGTGACATCTTATGATGAAAGGGCAAGACCCTTTGGCATTTCACTCTGTGATCTACTCAAAGTGTGAAACACTTGATGGTGGGTCGGCACGTCAAGACTACTTATCTAGCTGAGGCTAGCTACGATATATGCCACGGCTGCCCCTGGCTTACAAACTTTGTAGCCAATCACAGAGAGCAAATCATATTCCAATCCTGGCATTTGGATCTCAATTTGTGATGGAACATGTGGTAGGTGCAAAGGGAATTTTATTTAGGGGAGTTAAAAAGGAGCTGAAGAACTCTTTGTGATGTCTAGTGGTGTTGATTGAAGTGACACCCATTTTAGAGATTCCTGATCTTATCATTTAACAAAGGAATTGTGTGAGTGTATGGAACTTTCAACCAGAATGGAATGAGATGAAATTGGAGTAGGTCCTCGAATGCTTTGCGATTTTGTAAAAGTATGCCTCGGGATGGACATTTATAATAATAATCTAAAGTACTTCAGCACTAGGAAAAAGTTCACAGTGAGTTAAAGAAAGTTCTTCCTAGCAAAGCGCACAAAAATCCCTCCTGAAAACCTTACCATGAATCCATAGTGCATTCTGCAAAAGGGAAGGTGCATTATGTTTGACCATCAGAGCATCAACCGCATGCGCGCTAGCACATACACACACATGAACGCTTACAAATTAGCACTAGAGATTTTCTTTTGAAGAAATCTCGGGAAATAGCTTACAAGACAGGCTCTTACAGAGAAAGAAAGAAAAGAACTGTATTCATGTTTTTCCCCCATGACATTAGCATAAACAAACAAAAATTTTATTGGTGGGACTTGAACTACCAAAAACTATAATGTGGGAAACAGAAAAGCAAGAAAGAGGATTGGAAGGAGAGAAAAAAGTCGACATGCTTTTTCATGTGTCTCTTTCTTTTGAAAAATGCAGGTTGTTAATATGAAAATTCACACACATATTCAGGCAGACATATCATTATGTTCTGTGCACCTGTATATAGTACGTTCGTGTAAAAATAAAGAAAATCCAACTTCTCATCATTATTTCCTTCTGTTGCTGGGCAATACTAGTTCCATGAATATCACACTTTGTTTGTCTGTCATCGATAAATTGGATACTTGAAACTTCTCTTTAAGTTTGTGGTTAATGGCAATCTGTCGATCATCAGAAATGCATAAACAAATGATTGAGAAAATATATTTCGTAAAGCTGACTTGGGTTTATTCTTTCTTGTTTTCAGTAATATTCTTGAAAGCTGTTGTTGATTGTTGCTCTTCTTCTTGTTGTTGTTAATTGTTTGAATTTCTTTTTAGCCACTTCCCCCAAGCATTAGATTCCTCTCTATGTTGCAAAATCGCAGAGCCTTCCCTCTCTTCTAGTTGGGCGGCTTAGAAATGGAAGAATGTGCTCCTCTCTGCTTTGATTCTCTCTGCTCTTATAAAGATTTCTTCCTTTTTTTTTCTTTTTTTTTTCTCTTTCCTTGTCTTTTTCGCCCTCTCCTTTTCCTGGATGCCTCGCCCTTGTCTTTATCGCCCTCTCCTTTTCCTGGATGCCTCGCCTCTCCCCTTTTCAGTTTCTAATTTGTAGCTAGTGTACACACTACACATAAAAATCTTACTAGTGAAAGATATGCATATTCACTTGTCCTATTCGTTTTCCACACTATAAATACACATTGTCTTTCTAGGTTTTCTTCATTGCAGTAGCTCCTCTTCTAGTCATTTATTAACATATAGGAGGTGCACTAAGGTGTTTGGTCCCATCCTCAAAAATGAGCTACCAACAACACTTTTCTATGGGTTCTGGTTTGTTTCCTTCCATATCTTGATTGCCTGTTTTCATTTCAATTTGAATATAGTTTTGCTCCATCAATGCAATGTTAAATGAATGTTGATCTTCTTGGTTTCATGTGCAAGCTTTATGTTTTCTTTTTTATTCTGTTCTTTCAACCTCATGGTATATGAGAACGGAGAAGTGACTTCATCGCTTCAATATTCAGGTAGTAGACCTGCTAGAAGGAACTTTGAATTTGGGAGGACTTATGTGGTGAGGCCCAAAGGAAAACACCAGGCCACTATAGTTTGGTTGCATGGTCTTGGTGATAATGGTTCAAGGTATAAATTGTAGCTGTTATTTTCCCTTTTTTTTTTGTTTGTTTTCTTTCATGGCATTGGCATATTGCTTTCTACCCATTCAAAACCAAGTTTCATTCTTTTTTTTTGTTTTCTTTCATGGCATTGGCATAGTGCTTTCTACCCATTCAAAACCAAGTTTCAGATTCCAAAACTCTCCTCCCCCAAAGAAGCATAGAAGAAACTTTTTCCTTAGATTTGTAAAAAGTTGCAGACAACATATTCTTTATGTTCAAGTCCATCATGGAATTAAGTGTTTTCAGACTCAAACATCGTCATGTCGGTAGCATATCACTAATCAGCAAGCTATTGATCACTGTTTTTCTGTGCAGTTCATGTGATAAACAGCCCAACTGGGGTAGTGGGAACTCAATGATTAATCGTAAACATGCCTTGCTTATTCCATAACTTGCCGACAATGATTTATGCTTTTTTATCTTTTCCTCCTTTTGTATTACATACAAATTCTGTGTTGGAATATGGTGGACCTTTTGGTTTGATCAAGGACAAGGATAAGATAAAGGAGTTCACAAACGTTAACACAGAGGCATGTTTTTTATTGGAGGGTTTCGTACGATGTCACATATTTTCAATGTTAATCTACCTTCACTGAGATTCTCATTAGAATAAATTCCATGGGGAGAGCAGCAGCGCCGTGAAATAATGTTGATCAAATTATTCGTCCTTTCCTGTTTTTGTCTTGTTTGATACTGTGCTTAATTTGGGTGGGCTTTAATTGGATAACTTGTATATGCCATGTTCATGAATAGGTGACCACCACTTCACTTAATTCTGGCATGCAACCCAACAATGATAAGCAGACATTTCTTGAAGGATATTCATATGCATTTAAGCAATAGATTGTTTCTAGAGATCATCTTTGATCTCTGAATCCTACGGGATAGCCAATGAACACAAATCCATGCCCCATGTTGACTTTGCTTTGTTCTTTCACTATTGAAAACTTCGAAGATAAAGATATCTGTACATATATGTCTTCCACTGCTGCCATTTTCTCAAATGCTGTGATCATACTTAGAAAATATACTGCCGATGTTTATTAATAATATATATCTTAAAACCAGACATGTTTCTCATTTTATTCTCTGTTTGGATGCAGCTGGTCCCAGCTACTGGAAAATCTCCCTCTTCCAAATGTAAGGAATTAATTTTTACTTTTTTTTGCTTCCTAATCTTGTGCACTCTGAATAAATTTCTATTTCTTTTTTTTTTCCTGTACATTACTTATCACCTTGTGGATGAACTCTTAGTCTTACTCCTCCATAAGTATCTTATTCTTGGAGTGAAACTCATGATGCAGATTAAATGGATTTGCCCAACTGCTCCTACTCGTCCTGTGGCACTGCTGGGTGGATTTCCTTGCACTGCATGTAAGAATGATCGCCTTGCTTTTTCTTTTTAATTTAATCACCATCACGCACAATCACCTTGCTTCTTTTTTTTTTAATTTAATCACCATCACGCACTACACTTCCATCTTCAAATATTTCATGACGGAATCCGTTCACTTATTATACTTACAAAATTTGTAACAGGGTTCGACGTTGGAGAAATCTCAGAAGATAGCCCAGATGACTGGGAGGGTTTAGATGCTTCAGCAGCACATGTAGCAAATTTACTGTCTACTGAGCCAGCTGATGGTATTTTCGAGGCTTTATTTTCTGTGAACATCTACCTGATCTGCGTGCAAGTTTATCCTGTTGTGAGATTTTATAAAGTACCGAGTGCTTATTACACTACTTACAAGGGCAACTGATTTTAACAAAAAGTAGAAGTTCAAGTCCATCCGAACTATAAGAAAGTAATGCTTTATACCCTGTACCAATTTACTCCGAACTGTAACACTGGATTATGCACCTTTGATATGTCTAGGTTGAACTTCTCAGTGCAGTTCTCCAAGTTGCAGTTATCATATATGTTCTAAAGTCATCTAGTATCAATGTAATGCATAACCTCAGTCCATATTATCTGATTCAAATATTGGCAACCTCATTCTTGCAACACCTTTTGTGACAGTTAAAGTTGCTATTGGAGGCTTCAGTATGGGTGCTGCAACAGCCCTTTATTCTGCAACTTGTGCAGCCTTGGGACAGTATGGTAACGGTAATGCGTATCCTATCAACCTCAGAGCAGTTGTTGGACTAAGTGGCTGGCTTCCAGGTTCAAGGTATGACCATGCTGAGCTTTCCTTCTTGAATAAACACTTTCATCCTCCAGCTATTACATGGATGAGGGATCGGTGGATCCTCCTGTTATCTAAGGAGACCATTTATAGAGCTCAGTACTTGTTTGCAAAATCTTCCCATATTTCTGGTTAAGAGAGCCTTTTGTCATACAGGAGCTTAAGGAGCAGAGTCGAAGGGTCACATGAGGCTGCAAGGCGTGCTGCATCGTTGCCCATTTTTCTTTGCCATGGAACAAGTATGCACTCCAGTCTTTGATGTCTCTAAAATGCTTCATTTTTTTTAACTAAGATATCAATCTAGCTTAATATAAATGGTGGTGGCACTTCAACAATCTGGACAGTTTATGAAGCTGAAATGAATAGCTGGCTTTGCTCTGGTGACAGGAGTTTCATAAGAACTTACTTACCCTTTGAAGCCTTTTTCATCGCTATCACGAATTTATATGGCCCTGTGCAACTGATCTGCTCCAATCTACAATGTTATTACTCAGTAAAAATATAGGGAATTAGCAGCTTTGTCTACAACCCATCATAGCGGTGAAAATGCCTTGAAATCGACCTAACTCTTCACCTTGATCAACCAACTATTTCCATCGCTATCACTATAGGATATGCATGTTTTCCTTTCCAATTGAATATACACCGCGACAGTAATATTCCTTTTTCAGGTGATGATGTAGTCCTCTATAACTACGGAGAGAAATCTGCTCACAGCTTGAATACAGCAGGATTCCGAAACCTGATTTTCAAATCATACGAGGGGTAAAAAAATTTCTTCTGAAAGCAGGAATTAAATTTTACTGATGAATGTAACTCGAAGCAGTTTTTGAGTGGATTAATTTGGCTGCAGGGTTGGTCATTACACAGTCCCCAAAGAAATGGATGAGGTTCGCAATTGGCTCACAGCCAGGCTGGGGCTTGAGGGCTCCCGCTCTTAGTTGCAGAACAGAATCAGCTTCGGGTTGGAGCTTATAAGGAGAAAGAACAGGGAAAACAATAACGGGAAGAGGATGACTGGATTTGTATAAGTAGGTAGTAATAGAACAGGTTATGGAGTTTATGGTATAGATAATATAACCTTCCTAATTCCCTTTTGCTTTCTTTCCTGACCTTAAAAATAAATCTTGCACGTTTTCATTTTGATTGTATAATTTTGCAGTGTTGGGTCTAATCACTTCTGCTTGCTCAGCATTTTGTATTGGTTAATCTCATATTCAGTCTAGTGAGTTTTGCCTACTATGGTTTCCTCTCTCTGGTGAAAGCATGACTGTTTGAGTTTTCAGTTACCCATTCGAGTTTCCATACCACAACTTGGATAGAAGGAAGACAAGATCTTCGATCTTGGATTCACTGTATCCCAAAAATAGAAATAGGAGAAAGGAGAAAAGTGTTGCATTCATGTATATGCACATGCACAAAAAAAGATTATTAACCTACAAGAGTACTCGTTCAGAAAAAATAAAATACAATCCCATAATAGTACCTGAAAGAGTAATATAAGCAGATGATCACAGAGTGATCAACGAGAATTTAAAAATTGCTTGAAGTTGTAAATTTAAGTAGCAACCGGTAAGCTGTAACGTTATCTAACCAAATAAAGGTGAAGAAAGGGGTTAAAGTTTAGCACTATTGAGAAAATTATGCTTCCCAGATTTCTCGGCCAAAATGGTTGAGCTTGTGAGCAGTTGATTTTGGAATATATCCTGGAGGACAGTACACAACTCACTTCAGCTTTGAGTAAAAAAAAACCCATATTTTGCAGACATGTTGCAAGGGAAATCCAAATGACGAAGTTATCACATGCCACACTCAACAAATTCCAGTCATTGGTAGCCCGTGCTACCTTTACGATCGCCATCATTTTGATGGATTGCAGCCTGTGACTTACTATATGGAGCAAGAGAAGGGAAAGAAGGCAAATCCTGCATAATGAATTTCCATCCACTTCTCAACCCCTGTGACGAGCTTGATCTTAACTCATGTGAACGAATTTTTGGAGGAGACACCCATTTCTGATTAGGTGAGCTAGATTTCACTCCTTCTGTACTGGGGGTACAGGTGTTCTTAAGTGTCTCAGGTGTAGCATCCTCCATCATGTTACAGAAAAAGCTGTCAGAACTAAGCTCAGGCAGAGCCTCACATCCATATAATTTTGGAGTAAGACTACTAGGTGAATGGTGCCAATTAAGGTAGCCAGATGGTGAGAGGACGCTGCTTTCTTGTTGCGATTGACCTAGAAATTTTTTTGAACAGTCCCTTATGTTGAGAGAACCTGAAGAGGCCACTGCACCTAAGAGACAATGTGATGGTGGAGTCAGTTGGCCTATATCAGCAAGTTCTTCCCATGTTGATGAGAATTGATTAGGTCTCTCAGCTTTGATGCAATCATTATGACTCTCCAAAGTATCCAGCTGCTCCTGAGATGGATTATTCCATCTTTCAGCTCTTCTGTAAATTGTTTCTGCAATTTCATCATGTAGAACTCAATTTGATAGTGACTTTAGAAAAGGGGTGATCGAAATATTCATAGTTTAATCCAAAGTATTTGTCCTAGATCGAATTCCAAAAAAAATCCGAAATTCAAATGAGGATTTGCATCAGGAAACAGCAAACATCAACAACCTCCACAATTGCCATCGATTTGAGTCTACAAAGTATAAAAATCTTAAAGATGCCTAAACCTTCAGTGGTCGTACAATGCATGGGATCCAAGGCATACGACTACTGATAGATATTTCAGGCTTTAATGATGTTGCCAATGAGAGAAGTTGTTCCCGCTTTAAACTTTCAGACAGTTCCGAGTATAAGTCTGAAAGTTTTAAGGTAAGGATGATGTAAAAATGACCGTAAATATCTCGAGAAAGCATTTGAGGAAAGGCATTTGACCATTTGATAATTGCAACATTGTTCTCACCGAACTTGTATGCTTGAAAAAGCTCAGACGTATCAAAATATGCCATTATCACGAGAAATGAAGCAGTACCAACGTGCATTTTAAAAGTGAATACCAAGAAAGTTTTAATAAATCAATCTTGAAATTGACATGAGGCTACAATTTGCTAATATCGCTACAGTACTCTTGCAGCCCATTAAAGTTTGAAGTTGCATACCCTAATTGCTCGTGAGAAAAGAAAATGTAAGTAATATTAGTTCAACAAGTTCCATTTCTGATGGTAGGAGATTGGTTCTTGTCTTTGTTTTCCGAAGCCAATGTTTGAATATGGATTCAACATTTGATCAAACTAACTGAAAATGGCTAATCTATAGAGTAAAGTGTCACCTGTTTTGTTTCCATAAGGATTGTAACATCCTTCACATCGGCATCCATAACAGCATCCAACTCCACCCTTAGAATACAGAGAATGTTTGCAAAATAAGAACAGCTTAAAGATTGAATATGTCATGTAATTTCCAGTTTAAATATGCCATCCTAATTGAACAAGTCTGGTTGCTTTTTCATTTTTAATTCAAATGCAAAAATAATCATAACATCAATGTCGAAAATGCTATGTGAAATCAATTTCATCCAAACTAGAAATGAGAAAAAGCAGAACTTTTTTAGAAACTCTTTTGCAGAAATAAAGCCAGGAATGTTGATACAAACCTGAAAACATTCACAATATTTTTTAGAACACTTTGACTTCTTGCAGTTGCACCCTTTCTTGTGCCTGGATGAGGAAGTTTTCATCCATTTTCCTTCTTCCTGTATATCATTTTCACCTCAAATAAAAAATTGAGGCAAAGAAGATGAACAACTTGAAAAATGAGATTACCATCATATTTGCTGGAGAGTTGGTGGCATTACTGACAACTTTTGGAGCAAAAGCAAGAGGATTACGAGCTTCAGTTTGTTGTCGCATATCGAGAACTGTGTCCTCATATTCAGGCTTGTTAATGCAATTTTCACATGAACAAGTATCTAGACAATAAATTCCAGCAGCAAAGCACTCGCAATAACTGCCCAATAACAAAAATTGTAGGTGAGACAGTGGAAAATAGCAGGGATTATTGATTTTCTATTTTTCAATGAGACCTGAGGTAGTTCGCAAGCTTAGATGAACTAGTTCGTTTTCTTTTATACATGGAAAATTAAGGGACTGTGGACCATTATGAATGGTGGGAGTCATCCCCAACTTCTGAAAGCGTAAGCAATTCAAAGAACTAGAAAATTCATAAAACTTCCATTGTTTTTCATTTTAAGGGCATTAAAGATATCACCTGCCACTCCTGTAATGCACCATTTGTAATTACCGAACAAGTGTGAGCCACTAAAGCATGTCGATGCTCCTTTTCCTTTTAAGAAAATAAAGCAAGTAACAAAACAAAATCTGAAATTTTCTCCACTCGTAGCTACTGTTCACTTACAGTTTCAAGCATCTTGATTTCTTACAGTTGCAACGTCTACATCCCTCACTCTTGATGGTGTATTTTGCCTTCTTCCTAATTAACATCACCAACAAATACAAAACGTAAGCAACTTGAAAGGGTATAACTGAGAGTCGGAATGTTTGAATAAAAAACATTAAGGTATTCCACCTATTCCTCTCAGGGCTCATTTGGCTGAACTCAACTATGTCAGCATATTCTGAAGAAGGCATTGTCCCCTTGCACAGAGATGCCTGCTGCTCATATGGTATCAAATGCAGAGAATCACATGGAGTTTGCATTATACTGCTAGATTGATAACTGGAAGAACCTGCTCCCGCAGCAGCTTGACTCTCCTGCTGTTCATATCCCAAGTGAGAATAAATTTCCCCAAGAAAAGATAAGACTGGGATACCGTCTATTTCCTTGCATAAATAATGGTCCCTATCAGACATTAACGTCTCCTCTTGTTGGTGTGGATTACTTCCCAATTTCATACTTGTACTAAATTCTGAGCCCACGGACTCAGATCTGACAAAGCTATTTAAATGCAAATCTCCGCCCGAGGGAATACAAGCTGATAAAGCACGGTTTCCATAATTTTGAGCTGATCTAACAGATTCACATGCAGATGGGGAGAAAGAGGAGCACAATGTTGCAGTCTGGGAACAACTTCCGGCCTGCCAAATGCCAGAGATTCCTCTTGTTTCAACATGAGGTGGAACCAAATTCTCAAAGTCTGTCTGACGGGCTGGTAAGCATAAATTGGCTGTCTCATGAGTCCCATTACCCGCATGATTGCAGGAAATTGCAGCCCCGAAATGCAAATGTCTACGTATGCCACGATGGCGCTGATCAGCCTCCTGTATTGAATATAACATTGCACTTCCGTAATTAACTCTTGAAGAAATTGGATATGAATTACTCTTGGCAATACCTTAAATAAAATATTAAATGGGAAGTTATTGTTTTTGCAAGAAAAACTTCACAAATCTCTTCAAATTCACAATTCATCAAGGATAATAAAATAAAAATAAAAATGGGAGTATAAATTAAATTACATGTTTTATTAAATTTTGCACAAATTTCTTGGCATCTAAGTAAACTCTTCATTGTTACATTTTTCTGTTAACACACAATACATAAAGCACCAAAATCTTGATTGTTGCTTAGTAACTCAAGAGTCATTGAAGCTTAAGCTTGAAAACCCTCTTGACTGCAACAAAGTGTGTGCTCCAATTATGCATCGCCTTTTCTAGTAGGTCCTACGTACTGTCTTTTCCCAGGATAAAGGACGATCGTTGAACCAAGCGTTATGAAGTGGAAGAATATCACACCATCTTTGATATTTAAATTTTAATAAGTTGCACCTTTGTAGTCAAATAAGATTCAGTTGAGTCTCAACCAGGACTCAGAAACTTTTTCTGCTAAAGAAAATCTAGGGAAACCCTAAGCACGACGGAAGCCTGCAATGACACTGACGCACTTGAACAAGACACGTGAATGATATTGTCCGTATCAAAGAACGCATCACAGGGCACAGCTTCAAATACTATAATAGTAAAGGATTTCCTAACAGAAATTAAAAGTATCCAGTGCAATCATATTATCTTGCTGACAGTACGTATATCTCCACGTCACACCAAATAATTTTAAATTTCGATAAAACAGATGAAGAACTTGAATCCAAAAGGTCAACATTACATAAAGGAATATAACTAGGTTGAACAAAGCGAGAAGAAAAAAGCAGCAATATCTCCTGCACTATAAAAGGCTATAAATTTGAACATGAAATAAACTACACAAGTTTTGTATTACACGATGCTGTATAAGAAACAGGAAACCAGTTTTTACCTTAACAGATTCTTTTGATAGCGATCCTAAACTCTCTTTAGAATATTTACATGCCTCATCTCTCTGCAAAAATTCAGGAAATATCTGAAAACTAGCACCAAGTTTATCATGTTGACCACCTGCAGCCTGCAACTCAATATTCTGAGGAAGGTACAACAAACGGGAAACCAACTGAAATTTCATACTGAAATTCTTGTTAAATTATTGTGCACATAATGAACCCAAATCAATTTATTCACCTGAGGTGAAAATAATTCATGGTGCTGTTCTCCAAAAAATGTGCCCCCTAATATATCAGACTCGACATGATCATCAACATTTCCAGACAAACACTGCAGGAACTCTCCATACCTCTCAATTTCTTTCTCTCGTGCAGTGGCATAAAAAAAATTCATTGAAACAGAAGGGAGTTCCTCTCCAGTTTGGTCTGACATCAACACTGTGGCCTTTCCATTGCCAGCATTAGTATCATCAGCTTTAGTGGTGGTTTCTTTGTGGCTTGTAAGGCTACTCATTGAAGAGTTCATAATATTGTCCTCCTTGAAAGGATCAGCCAGATGTTCGTCAACGCATCCTGAAGAACTGTATGATTGAAATTCCTTTTGAAAGCAAGGCATCAACTGAGGTTTCAGTTGAATATCACTTTCTCTATAAATATCTGAACCTGGCATCTCGCTGACAACATAGAGATTAAAATCTTCAATAACAGAAATCAATGGAGTTTCTTTCATTGAAAAAAATGATAAATTCACTGCAACACCGACACCATAAACAAAATGAAAACGGTGGAATATTATAACATCAATAAATCTCAAACCTTAATAGGAAACTATTGTGTTGCTGCAGATCTACACTAACAGATCTTATGGGAGAGTGATTACTAAGGTAATTAAAACGAAATACCTACAATTGAAAAAAGAAAAACAGAGAAATTAAACAGAAGAAATCACACAATTCAGACTGTTTCCAAATTAGAAAACTCTAACCAAGCAGTTATGGGAGGAGAACATAAGGGGGTACGGGTACCTATAATCTTCACTATAGAATCATAACAATGACACTATGACATGAAGAAGAAAACATTAATAAACATAGAAGAAATGGAAGGAAAGAAATAAAGTAACAGATTACATCGTTTGAAAAATAAAATCCTGTCAGGAATAATAGTCATGTAAATTTGGAAAGTGAACAAATATTGGAAATGAAAGAACCTAGATGCAACAGAGACAAGTCCATTTCAGCGACAAGAAAACAATCATAATAAAAACCGCATTATTAAACCATCTGAAATATAGAGAAAATTACAATGGCTCAAGTACTTGTAGCAAATTTTCGTAAAAAGTTAAGAACTTGCAAGGAAATTAAACAAAAAAAAAAAAAAAACTTTGAGAAGTTGGTTTATCCCCAAATTCCCAGATCAAAAACTTGACAACGAGAAACAGTGATTGCCATACAAATCAAAAGGGTCGTTCATAAAAGGAAAGAAAGCACAAACAATGTGTTTTCTTGGGGAAAGGTGGAAGAAAGACACACACTTAGAGGGCCACAGGAGAGGATGCAGGCGATGTGGACGTGAAGGGGATGATGCGATTGGGTTCAGGAGAATCGATATTATTGTTTTAAAACAGTAGTGGTAAGAAGGTTTTGTAACATCACCATCATCATCGAACAAAAATGTTTTGGTTTGGAATATGAAGATGACAATAACAAGAACAGCATAATCAGAGGTGCGGATTTTGTTGACGTTTCTTTTTGAACCTTCCTAGCAGGCGGGAACATAATTTTGTTTTCCTTTTTTCTTTTTTTATTTATTACTAGGGACTAGGTTTCCATAGCAATCCATAAGCCCATTCCATAAGCAAATGCATCATTTTCAGATAATTATTACCGTTATCATTATCAAATATGATGGAAGAAATGGGAGAGACCCTGTTCACAGACCGTGTCTTTTTTCTTTTTCTTTTTTTCATTTCCCTCATCAAACTTTTTAAATTATAATTTCATTCCTTAGTTATATTATTATGATTTTACATGTTGATATTTCTTTTAACTTTCATTCTTTTTGGTCTACAAAGTATTCAATGATCGTTAGAAAAACTCATGTGACCCCGAGACTCAGTATTTTGATCGAGTTAATTCCTAGACTAAGTTTAAAAACTATAATTTATATATATTGAAGTTAATAATTTTATTTTTAGATTCATAAATATAGAAGCTATGAAAACAATAATATTGATGATGAAAGTGTTGATGGAGGTGATTATTTTTTAATGGAGGCAACCTAATGATTTTCTACTTTAATGTTTGGAAGAATTGTATACCTCCCCACATCATAAAAGTAATTGAAAAAGATATCCAGAATTTTTAATGTTGAACACTTTTAGGAGACACTCATTAAATAGGTACTTGAATAGAAACTAAAAAACTTACAGTTTTATTAGTAAACATATTGGTGGGTCATTTCTTTTTATTAACCACGCAAAACACTCGATAATTATTTTATTTTGAAGTTTTTCTTCAAATAGTAATTGTTGTTTATGATAATATTTAAGTATTTTAAATATTAATTTATTTTACAGTTAACACAGCTTAGATACAAACTTGTTTTGATAGAGTTGTATATGGAACACAACCTAACCCAATTTAACTATTACTAGCTATTAATGAGTTAGTTGAACAATGAGTTAGTGATCCAAGAGTTGAAATGGAGGCAAAGTATAAAGAACAAAAAAACAAAAAGTTGGAAAGCATACTTTTTCGGTCATTATCCTTCCTTATGTGAACCTTTATGAGATTTTTTATCCTTTTCACCTTCACACGCAACCAGATCTTGTAATTAATTTCTATAGATATTTGTAATTAATTTTTACATTATATAAAATTAATTTTTTTAATTTAAATTAGTTGTTTGATGTTGTTTATTTCAATTATGAAATTGTTGGATAGCATTTTTTTCTTTTAAAATAACAATTTGTATAAAAACCAACAAAACTTACATTGGTAAATGATTGTCATTTTGCTTGGGGAATTACAAAGAGCCATTAATTATTTTGGTACATACCAACAAATAAATGATCATCATTTTTCTCATAAAATTCTAGAAAGTTGTTAACTGTTTCAATGTATACCTTAACAGAATCACCAACAGAATATATCTTTGGTGATTCTGTTGGTGAATCTATCAATGAGATAGATATATTGTTGATGGATGTACCTGTCAAAATGTTGTTGGTAAAACTCACTAATGAATTTGGCGACAAATATTGGTTGACCCTTTTTTAAGGATCAAAGAAAATAAATCATCATTATATCCTTCAAAATAAAAATAATCCTGGAATTACTAACAAATATGACATCAGTAACAAGATACTTTCTAACAACTTGTTTATATCAGTTAATCCATTGGTGATCTTTATCTTGATGGAATTAGTGTGTTTATACCGATATAATATTTCGTTGGTGTTTTGCTATTTTTGGTTGTGATTTATTAAAATAGTGTTGTGTGTATAGGTTTTTTTTTTTTTGCTTTTTTGTTAGATTTTGTTTTCAATTTCACTATTCACCAAACCAATCTTCTTTTTTGTTTATGTAGTTTTTTCAAAACAAATTTATCATTTAATATTAAATTGTTTTGGGAATTGTGCTTTTAATTTTTTTTTTGTTGGGTTATATACTAGTTTCATGCATTTAGCTTTTTTTTTCTCTCTCTCTCTCTTAATTTCAACCTTCAAGATTAGATTTATTGGAAGTGGGGCTTCATAATTATTTTTTATTTGCTTTCTATGAATTTATATTAATTTTATTACCTACATCACAAGTTTAACAAGTTAACTTAAATTGAATCGAACTATTTTTTTAGGCTGATTTTTCTAATTGATTTTTTTACTTCATCCTTCAATGTTGGATTAATTGAAAATTAGGATTTATAATTTTTTTATTTTCTTTTTATGAGAATAATATTTCAATCTCATGACCTGGATCGCGAGTTGACAAGTTATTCCAGGGCTGACCCACTTGATTTTTTGGTCATTTTTTCATTGAATATATATTTAATTGGTCTTCGAAATTTTTTGTTTACTTTTTATGAGGTTTTCTTGATCTTATGATTTAGGTTGCAAGTTTGGAAAGTTAACTTAGATTAACTTGATTCATTCTTTTTTTATTATTTTTTAACTGAATTTTTTTTTTCAATTTCAGCATCCAACAACTCAATCTTCTTCTTCTTTTTATTTAGTTTTTTTCTAGTTTTGTAATTTTTGTAATTGTTTTTGTGGAGTTATCTCGGTCTTACGAATTAAGGTTTTTTCCCTCAATTTTAACTTTTAACATTAGATCTGTTGAAAATAGAGTTTCATAATTTTTTTTATTTGCTTTATATGAAGCTATCTCAATCTCATGACTCAAGTCGCAAGTTTAACAGGTTAGCTTGAGTTTACTTAAGTTTTTTTTCTTTTTTAATTAATTTTTTATTTATTTTATATGGAATTATCTCGATTTTATGGTCCAAGTTTTGAGTTTGGAAAGTTAACTCATGTTTAGTCATTTTTTTTTGTTTTTTTTAATTTTTTTTTCAAGTTTGTCCTTCAACATTGGGTTCATTAGAAATTGACATTCATAATTTATTTTTATTTGCTTTATATAAGTTTATCATGATCTTATAACGTGGGTCATATATTTGACATGTTAAACTATGATGATCTAATATATTGCTGTCTCAATATTTAAAAAAAAACATCATCCAATAAATCACCATATCAATATTTTAAAAAAAGTTGTTTTTTAATGTGTATTATATTTTAAGTTCATAATTAATTATTTTTTAATTAGAAAGCACATTAGCAATGCTTGAATTTTTTTAAATTAAAAAAATTGATATGAATCATAGCTACGGGTCAATGATCTAGTTAAATAACTAATATTTGAAAAAAAAAAAAAACATCATCAAGTAAATCACCATATTAATATTTTAAAAAAAGTTGGTTTCTAATATATATTATATTTTAAGTTCATGATTAATTATTTTTTAATTAGAAAACAATTAGCAATGCTTGAACTTTTTTTAAGTTAAAAAAATTGATATGAATCGCATCTACGAGTCAATGATCTAGTTAAATAACAAAATAAATAGTACTAGTTTACTAGTTCGCACTACGCTATGCTAGGATCAAAAAATTTTGAATATGAAAAAAATGTCTAAGTCATAAGAGACTTTTTGTTATTGTTATTAAATTTGCCCAAACAGGTCAACCTTTAAATCTTTTGATTTGACCTCTTGACTAGTTTGAGTTTAAAATTAATTTGTATTAGAGTTATTTTGATATGACCTAATTGACTTGATAAGTCCATAATAATATAAATAATTGGTTAAAAAAACATGGCTTGACTTAAAAAAAATATCAAAGATGATGTATTTTTTATTTTAATATTGAGATGTCAATATATGGAATCGACTAGGGTTTCACGACTAAACTCACCAGATCCACAACCTGGATCATGAATTCCACCAAGTTTAACAACTTTTTTAAGCTATTTTTATTTAATGATATAATAAAAAAATAGATACTTGTAAATTTAAGCACCAATTAAATACCAAGATATTTCTTTGAAACTGTAATAATATCATAGGAAGTAAACTAAAAACAATTATAAAAAAAATTCCAAATCAACTAATATTGAAGGATAGAATTGAAAAAAAAAATAAAAAAGAATTTATCAAAATAAAAAAATTGAAAGATGGACTTAAAAAAAAAGGAATAAAAGAGTTCAATCGTATGGGTTAACCCTATAACCTCTCGATCACATTACTTACCTGTAACCCGAATAATAGGTAAAAAACGTGGTTTGACTTTGAAAAAAAATTCAAGATAACATCTATTTTTTTTTAATATTGAAATGATAATATATTGAATTGATATGTGCTTTGCAAGTTATTTTGTTAACCCACAATCTAGATCATGAATTCCAATGTTTTTAA